CATTTGAAAACCATTGGGACAAAATTTTCTGCCACAACAGGGCAGAATAAAATTTTATTCTGGTGGGTGGAACAGTGATTTTACTCTCCACAAAATGACATGCAAGTTTCAACAAGAGGCAATGGCCTTCTTTGGCGATGTGGCACAGGCTCTTTGGTCCCACCTCAGTTTACCAGAGTTGATTTGTGCCCCTCTTAATAGTTCATCTCACCTCAGGAAGTAAAGTTTTAAGTGCCGTAATTCATACAACCCATGTTCTCGGGTTTGCCACCTTGAGAACAAACAAAATATCAGCAATGAAAATTATCCTTGAACATATTATGACGAAACAAAGCAAACCTTTGACAAGATATTCTTCTTCTCCTTTTATGCTACCATTGCCCTCCTTTCCTTACAAAGCTGTGCTCTCCCAACAATTTAGACAACCATATTGTAGGGGTTGAGCTCAAACAGCTTCTAATACTCACCAAATCTCAGGTTAATCTTTGCATTGTCGTTCTACTCCAAACTGCAGTAATCTCCCCTGATTGACAAAGACTCTTCAGTCAGTGCTTCCTTGCTTGAATGCACAAGGGCTGACCCATACCCTCTCCTCAGCCATTGTGATAGCATCTGTGTCCTTGCTGCCCTTGAGTTCTCCCTGGTAGGACTTGAAACAATTAGCCCTTGATCCACACATGTCAAATCCCATACTCACGAGTATTTTGGAATATTGGATGAAATTTTGAGTAAGGGACATGGAGAACCTGTGTCCCAAATGAAATTTCAGGAACAGACTTCCACTCATGCCTTGGGGCCTTCAGCACAAGGAAGGATTTCCAATGCCCACATTCTCTGTTTTAGAAGTTCTCAGGAAGAGAAGGAAGGTGGCAGGTGCCCCTGGGGCAGTAGGTCTCCTGCCAGAGTTTCAGGACACCTTCCCCTTTGCCTTAGCTCTTCCTTGTGCCACATGGGAAGTGTGACATCCCAGGTAAAATGAAACTGCAAAGTACCTTTAAAAAAAAAAAAAAATCAAAGGCTGGTGTGTCAGCATTGGGCTCCAAAGAGAAGACTGTGCTTTTTCATTTACATAGGAAATTGAAATACAGGTTACAGAATCTTGAGTTTCATCTTCTGAAAAGATCATAGAGTGTGGTGCAAGGTCAGACTGGCATGAAATCAATTGTAATCTGCCAGCAAGCCATTCTAACCTCTTTAAGAGTTTCCTTTTATATTTTTCCCCTTTATAGAGAGAGCAAAGTACATTTAAAGAAAGTCTCATCAAATCAGAATGTCTTTCTAATATTATTTTTTTAATTGGTTGCTACTGTACTGTGACCTAAAGCCTCCTGGTATTTAACCCTCTGTGCAACTTTGACTAATGAACAAATTTTGTCTGCTGTAGCAGTCTTGTTAAGTGTCTTTTATAGGGTTTTAAAAAAATTACAGTGTATTATGAAAACCTCAGATCCCTCGACCTAATTGATTGGCTGTTGGTGATGCCATCTCTATAACTATAATGTTCCTTAAGTGCACAGACCTAACTATTTTTCTTATTTTTATATAGCAGTTCCATTTTATAATGACATTAAACCATTCTGAGTGATACATTTCTGGACAGTTATTGCACTTGGGTAGAAAGTGTCATCTGGCTTTTAGCCTTGTGCCTTACAACACCAACCAAGGTGTAAAATGATCCCCCAGAAAGTGTACTAGGCTTTAACTCATTACTTAAAAATAAATCTTGGAGTCTGGTTCTGTTTCAGAAAAGATTTGGTGAGTTAAAACATTTGATTTATGGACATAATTAAAATATAAATGATGAGCTCTGGGCTACTCAATCAGCCATCTGGATTGTTCGATATTTTGACATACTTACATTGCAGCCAGGATCTTCCTGGGAAAATTTAACATCCCTGAGTCCTAGAAGTGTCAGTGGAATCCCAAGGTTTCTGTTCCACCTGTTGAAAATACTTAAGTTCTTCTTTTGGGACAAAGGAAAGGGAACAGAATTTGTTTTTAAGTTTCCATCACCCAAGGACAGATGGTGGCACATAGACTTTCTCTTTGGTTCATAGGGTGTGTAGATAACTCAGCTGCCCAGGGTCAAATAATATGCCCATAAATACTGCCTTTGTCAATGGAGGGGGACATTTTCTTGTGTAATACAAAAAAGATTAATGTTTACCTTTTGAGCCAACTATGAAGGTAACTGGCAGATGTACCTATTAAACACATGGTAGATGTTTCTGCAAAGCTTAGAAATGAAAATCAGTTATCTGAAGGTGTATTTTCTGTGGCTTAACATATGATTTTTTATATACATTTATATATTAATTCCAGGTATAGCAAGTCCTTAGCTTGTTTTTCCTGATTTATGTGTGTAATTGACAACTGGTAAACAGCTCATTAGGAACATAAAAAAAGCATTTAACTAAAACAAACTCAGTGATACTGAAGAGGCAGGGCAGATGAGATTTTTTTTCAACACTTTCTTTATTATTAATGGAAGTTGAGCATGTAAAACCCTTAGCGCACTGTACTGAAAAATATACCCTTTCTGTTTGCTTGTAAATTACATGAAAGGGGTGGGGGGGGGCAATCCAATGAAAACTGCCCTCATAAGCCAGCAAGCATTCGTTTCTCTTTAATTAATGATCCTAAGTCAGCAATGCATGAAAAATGTAGCCCTTTTGTGGATCATAGATTAACCCATAAGCAAATGTTACATTCCAGCCCAAATTTTGAGCTCTAAATTTAGCCTTGCCCAGAATGTTTCATGGGGATAAAATGACAGAGGTCTCCTAACCAGAAACTCCATAGTGCTGCCATTCTGTTTCTAAGTATGAACTATTAGGTAGCTGGTCATTTGTTATCAATGTTCAGTGTCGTAGTCTTCTCCCATTAATTTTTGTTGTATCTTTTTTAAAATGGACTTCACCAAGTGGCAGTTTGGTAAGGGGGACCGGGTGGGGGGTATAGCACCGAAAATAGTAGACCCACATATATCATCTTGTGGTTGTATTTAGCCTAAGATGTGGTCTAAAAGCTAGTGCCCTGGAGTTCTGGCTGCAGCCCAGAAGCCAGTGCTAGTTCAGGGTCATCCCATTTGTCCTTTGTGAGTATTTCTGCCTTTCTTTAATGACTACCTTCCAAATCCGGTTATCAGTATCCAGAAACAACCTTGCTATTTTGCTCTTGAACATTTCCTTTGCCAACAAGTGCAAGACTAGAACTTTGTTACTCGGAAGGGTCAGCTGGAGCTTTTGGGCTTGCCAACTTGATGTTCTCTGGCAAGTGACATAGCTTCTCAGAAAGTACTGCCAATTTAATGTGCAGTGCACATTAGTGGTTGTGTGAGGGGGCTCTTGAATGCCACATGCTTTTCAGAGACAGGAAAGAACAGTGACAGGAACAAGACTGTAAAAATGCATCCAGAAATAGCCATGCTAGAGAGGACCTCGATGTGTGCTTCTAGAGCTGTGTACAGGGTGAAATTGGTCGAGCCCAGCCATATTTCCATCCTCTCCCTTATTCCATAGGATGAATGTTAATGAGTTCACCACTGCTTATAAAAGGCCAAGGGGCTGTTGTTTAGGTGGTGTGATTGCCTGAGAAAGTAAAACTATGGTAATTGTTTCGACCTTTCAGCCAACTGCTGTCTTGCCCTCTCACACTTATTACTCTTGGGTACATTTCCAAAAATATACACTTAAAGAGCCACAGAATTAAATGAGAAAACTGATTTAGGGATTAGTAGCTTGTTAGTTCAGCATAGAAAAAAGTAATTTCATTCAGGTTTTATTTATAATGTAGTTGTATGTCTATCCATTTTAATTCTTATGTCTTACACTTCTCTCCCCATTTTCTACACCACCCATCATTCATTTCTCATACCTATACCCTTACTCACAAGCTCAGGCTTTTTTATGTGTTTTTTTTTGTTGTTGCTGTTGTTTTTGTTTTTTTTTAATGACATTGGGGATTGAACCCAAGAGACTTTACTGCTGAACAACATCCACAGCCATTTTAAATTTTACTTTGAGACAAGTGTTTTGTAGAATTGCTAAGGCTGGCCTCAAACTTGACATCCCTCCATCTCGGCCTCAGAGTTGTTGGGATTACAGATGTGCACCACTGGGCACAGCAGCAAGCACAGTTTTAAGTAGCTTATGGAAATTAAGAGTTACTTACATAACATCCCAAATAGTTGCCATCGTGACAATTGTGGGTTGCCATTAGGAAATGTAATTTTGAATTAGAAGTCTGCCCCAATATACATTCCATGGGGCTCTCTCCTTAGGTTATCTCCATGACCTTGGACTAGCTACTTCATTCTGTGGGTACCAGAATTCTCACCTCTAAAACTGGACTTATGCCATTACCATTGATGGTTCCTATGATAATAGGCTCTGAGTAAATGTCAGTTTCCTTTCTTCTTCTAGGTTTATGCTGAGATGTCAGCATTTTACTGGGGGCCACCGAAACCTCCCAGTTCTTTTCTTCCTAAGCCTTTTGAGTGGAATTCAGATTTCCGCCTTTCCCATTTGAAAACAAGAGCATAGAAGAGGCAAACTTATTAATATGCAGTGTCACAACATATTGTCACATAGTAATATATGATATATGATAAAATGTATCAATTCTGAGCACCACAAATATCTGTGGCTTCACCTCAGCATGAAGGCAAATGAGTTTCCTTTAGCTTGAGTGAGTTTAGAGATAAACTTCAATGTAACAAAATGTATTTCACAGGAAATGTTTGATGTGGCGCAGTTGGCTTATGAATCTCTTATCTATTCGCGGTTCACTCCTTAGAGTTATTAGTCAATTTAATTTGAGCAAATGCCAGGATTACTAACTAATTAGAAGGATGTTACTGAAGGCATACGGGTGGGGAGAGAATAAGTGCTGGTAGTGTCGGGTTTGTGGCAGCATGCAAGTCTGATTTTTTTTTTTTTTTTTTTTTTGCTGGATGATATAATTTGCTAAACATTATACTTTGTGTTGTTGTCACACAGATAAGCCTCAAGTGCATATTCAGATGACTTATCCTCTACAAGGCCTAACCCGGGAAGGGGACGCGCTTGAGTTAACATGTGAAGCCATCGGGAAGCCCCAGTAAGTTCTGAAGGCCAAGGTTGGCAGAGGGTCATGAGCAGTAAATGTCACAACACAAAGATGTGCATTCACAACTCGTTGGCCTGTCACCTGTCTCCTGCTGTAAAGGATGGAAGATATTTTTTTAGAAACTAACGAATATTCAATGAGGGGGGAATAAATATCTTGGTTCTTAACAGTCAGGATTGGGAAAAAAATTAAATGCCAGCTAAAATTGAAATCTCAGCTAATTCTGTTTTATTATCATCAACATGATTGTCAGGACTATTTTCTCTCTTACACACAAAATAATCCTAATAAATTTTTAGTGTGCCCACAATCTAATGATATATCTACTACTTACTATATTAATATGTACACTGCTGGAAAGATGGTTTTCAGACTCAAATTTAGTGCTGTGTTTAGGGCCAACTATAGGCAAACAAATTTGACCTGCCTTTAATATTGCATCTTCTTCCCTCAGAGAAAAGTATCATTTTTAACTCTGAAAAATATTTTTCTTAGTAAGGAAAGGTTCAGGAACTTTCCTGAAGGAGAATATACTTTAGAGAGAAGGAAGAACTGACCAAGACTCATTTTACTGAAAAGTATAAAGGAGCTACTTTACTTACTCCTGTGAATGATCTAAAGTAAATTAGAGAAACTACATAAACCACTAACATGGCAAAAAAAAAAAAAATGAGATGATACCACTTTAAATATTTTTTCATCTGCTTGAAGAATGGAGAATCTTTCATTTTCCTACTGAAGATTGTTTTTAATTATTTTCTTAGGGGGAGGGGGGAATCCCTGGAATCAGGAAGTAGAACAGGTCAATGTTGGAATTAAGGGCACTCAAACTTTTAGTGGTACCCAACAACAACAAAAAAGCATTGAGCTCCCTCTGCTGTCCCTATGGTATGACATTTTTCCCCCCTCACAAGGTTTTTCCTAAGCAGGGTTGTCACAGTTTTCATATAAAGAGCTTAGCACACAATACATAACAAAGCTTCCCAAAAAAATCTTTGGAAAGAATTCTCCCCATGATAGCTAACGAATGGCCTATGCCAGGATCCCAGAGAGCCAAAGGTGAAGGTGTCTGCAGTCAGTTCTTTGTTCTCACTTCACCCCTCCCTATTTTTGTGCTTACCTCTCCATAGGCTACAGTACCCTTACCTCTGTCTAACCATTTCGAGTTTTAAAGATGACCTTTGGGAGGTGGAAAATGGTCTTGGTTTTGTTTTGCACTTCCTCTGGTATTCTGAAGTTATTTGATTCCGAACACCTTCAGCTTCGATCTAACCATCTTTTTTTTTTCTTTTGAGCACTGTAAAAAGATTTAGACCTTATGTTTTGTAAACTGAATCATGCCCTAATTAGCAGCTTACCTTGCCTCCAGAACAATCCAGTGGAGGGAAAAAAATTCTCAGAGGCCTCTTGCCACTCACAATACCTATATTCAGCCACATTAACCACATTTACAGTATATGTCTTGCTAACCTATATTTTGTTTCTGTATTTTTTCCTCTGAAGAAGGTACTGTGTTCAATTGAATGTGCCACGGGGACAGTAAATTACATGTTTCCTTCAGGACATTTATGCCAGAGAGGGTATTTGTTTGTTCCTCTCAAATAGGAACGCGTATATGGTTGTGTGAGCAAGCACGCATTACTCTGCTGCTATCCCTTCTAGCATATTACCTATTTATTTTCTCAAGAAATTGCATACAATAAAAATGGTAATTTAACTTGCCATTAAATGTTGTGAATATTCTCGGCACTTACCCCCACTGATTGTTTCAGCTGTCAAGCAGCAGGACATTAGGTCTGATTGCCAGGCAGCCCCATTTGCCATTGCCTACAAGGAGGACATATGCAGTACTAATTTTTAAATAATTTACTGGGTTGTGATGACAAACCCATGTGTAATTAAAGAAAAATTGTAACTTCACATCCCATTTGAAAATTGGAATTCTACTTGACAGGGCTAACTTGAGTATCCGTTCATCATTAAGCATGGGACTCTTTGTCATGTCACTGCTCCTAGAGGTAGCCACAGGAACTGAAAGGAAGTGACTTCTGTTCTCAAGTCTCTTTTATTCTTCCTTTTACATTAAAGTTTGTGGCCAGGGGTATAGCTCAGTGGTAGAGTGCTTGTCTAGCATGCGCAAGGCCCTGGATTCCACCCCCAGCACCACATGTATACACACACACACACACACACACACACACACACACACAAATATGGATGTTTTCAGGCATACTCTTAGATGTGCCCTTAATTTCATAGGCAGTTGAAGGAGTCATCTTGAACAGAAGTTTCAAATTCAGTGAGTTTGAGTGAATTCATTTTTGGCTCTGGAACATCTTGTGAAATTTGCTTTTTCCTAATGGATACAAATATGGTACTTGAAGTCACTGAAACAGACTTGTCTTTGATGAGCAAGTTTCCTTGTACCTGAGGAATGCATGTGGAGATGTGCTCTGCGGTGATTAACCTGAGAGCCCTATCTTCAGCCTGGAGGACTGCAGGTGCATGCATGGGAAAAAGTCTAGCAATAAGTGAGCCTATGAGAGCCGGGAAAGAAAGGCAATTGCTGACCAAGGAGCATATAGACAAGGTGGACCAGGGCTTCAGAGTGGCATCTTGGGGAGGGGAAGGGCAGGTTATAGGGAGAGGAAGTGATTGCATCTTTCCTGAATCAGAAGTGATTTCTCAAAAAACAGGCCAGAAGAAAGTGCTGTTCAGATGTAAAAGTCTATTCCTTAAAATTCACTTAAATATCACAAGGAGTTTCTGAGCAAGCAAGCATCTTAGTAACTATCATATTAATGCATATATCACTAGCCGTGGACTTGATTTTTTTTCCCCTAATTAATGAGATGATTAACAATGGGTGGGCTCTGTCCTGCTTCAGTTGGTGTGAAACCACACAGCAGGGTACAAACATAGGGCACACTGATTTATTTACTGATGTGTTGAAGATGAATTGGGAATAATGAGACTCCTACTTGTGTCCGTTGAAAAACTTTCAACACCTGATCATGTTTTTAAAAGAAGAAAATTTATATTTCATACAGATTTTGGAGACTTCGTGGTTGTAGTTCTGTGAACTTAAAACATCTCCAGTAGGTTCTCTTTAATTGTGTTGCCCTGCATGTGATTCGTTTAATGTGTGAATGATAAGTTTGATGCAGGTATCTTAATTGGAAATAATAACATGACTTGTCTTTCTTCCCTTTTCTCTGCAGGCCTGTGATGGTAAATTGGGTGAGAGTCGATGATGAAATGCCTCAACACGCCGTCCTGTCTGGGCCCAACCTGTTCATCAATAACCTAAACAAAACAGATAATGGTACATACCGCTGTGAAGCTTCAAACATAGTGGGGAAAGCTCATTCGGATTATATGCTGTATGTATACGGTACGTGAGAAGATAAAACGCTCTTCTACTAGACTCATATACATGTAGCTGCTACTTAGGATTCAATCCCAACATGTTTGGTCAAGTTGAAAACCAAAAACCACTTGGTTTCCTTCAAGAACTTAAAGAAGGCTGGCCTGAGGTGGACCCCAGTGTCTCCACCTGGGTCGGTAGTGACTTTTCTTCTCTTCTTCTGATCTTGGGGATTTCCCTCTAGATCACAGTCTCTGGTCATGCTGAGTAGGAAAGCTGTGTCCTCAGGCACAAGCCATGGAGATTATGTTAGAAGTAATGACTGAAAAATTCAACCTTACCAATTAGTGGCTTTCAGCTCAGAAAGTTTATTCCCACTGGTGTTTTCATGTGATGCCTGGGCTAGCCTTTCTCCTGCTTTGATGAGCAGAACTATCCTATTTTCAGCATAAACCTATTAAATTCCAGAAGATGTTGCAAGCCAGTAAATACATGGAATGAATACAAGGTTCTTGTTAGCATATAGACCACCTATAGCTATTGCTTTGGATACAAGTGCCTTTTTAAAAAATGTCTGTTTTCTTAACCAATATCTTTCCACAGAGTTATTAAAGCATATTATCATGAATTTCATCCTCTAATCAACAAATATTTACTGATAACCAACTATGTGCCAGGCATTTCTCATTTATATCGTATTGTTCATTTTGTATATGGCAAATATTCTCTGTTTAGTTGAGTGCACTCCCTCCAATTGTGTCTCTTCTTTCCAGTTGAAGTCTTTAGTTTTACACTAAGAAAAATAGTTATGAACTGACCTGACACAGAATGAGTAACCAGAGGCATCAAAATTTCAGTGTCATAAATATTTTAATATGGGAGGTGTATTTCTTTCTTCACATTAGCAGTATAAATAATACCAAGTATATGTGAATATTTGCATAGACACACATAAATTATACATATGGAATATTTACACCCTTGTGTCTTAGAACCTTAGTACGTTTTCTCTGAAGAAAATAGGAGTGCCAGTCTTCTTAATTAAATAGAAGCATGCTTTACACCATATCTACCTAGATATTAAGACCTAATCCTCAGTTTGTACCTGAGTTTTTTTTTTTCCTCTTGCAAAATGCAAGATTAAAAGATCATGTCTAGTCACCTTATTTGTAGACTTTTGCAGATGGTTTCTTTGCACACCATCCCATGTCATCAGTGGCCATATATGGTAGCATTAACTCTCCCTAGTGGTTAAGGAGACCCATGTGAAGGAAACGGCTCTTCTTTTAGATGAAAAGTGAGCACACCATGCCCCCTTTGGAGCTGGTGATATGCAGAGCCACCTCCATTCCTCATATTGTTCAGCAGGGGTGTAAGATAAAATCCTCTCTTTGCTTTTGCATGTAACCCCCTCAACCTGGAGTCTGAGCCCCGTGGGAGTCTTCTATGTTGCGGCTGCCCAGGTTTACAGAGTCCAGCTCTTTTCATAAACTTCAGATTTTAAAAAGCAGTGACAACTTGCCCCCTATCTGTTATATGCTTCTGTGTTTCAGAAGACTAAGTTATCTGGAAAAAAATGGTTTTAATTTATTGTACCTACTGTTCCTATATCTCAAGAAAAGAAACATTTTGAGAGTATGAAAAATTACATATTTGAATAATTTTGGATAGTACCTTATAATTAACATGTGTTAGGTGCTCACTTTGTTCTGTGCCCTCCAGTGACAATTTTACATACATGATCTCATCAATTCTCCCCAATAACACCAGGAGGAAAGCATTATTGTTACGCCATTTTACAGATGATAAAATGAAGCTTAGAAAGATAATATAATTTTGCCAGAGTCCACAAGGTTACCAGACATATTTTAGAGATACAATATTATGATTTCAGTGTCTTTCTTCTTTCCAAGAGAACAGTTTTCTCCAATATAAGGCTGTCCTTTTGGAATTAACCCTCTGGACCACAGTGCATTATTTGAACACCAAGAAATATAGGAATCCACCTGTTTAGATAAACACATCTGCATACCTGTATCTCCCTAACATAAGATGGTCCACGTGTCCTGGTTTAGGGATTTTGATAGTTCTGCAGTAGACAGTCTAAAATACCAACCTAAGCGATTGATAGTCCATTAATAGTTCATCTTAGCAATTTGGGAAGATAGTGGGTAGATTTTCTTCCTACTCACTAATTTATTATACTACTCCAGCAATTGAAGTGTTTATAAACTAAAAGTTAATATGCCTCTAAAATGTTTAATCTTCTGAAAGTAACTTCTGTACCTGAAGAACTGAATTGGTTAGTGTCTGAGACCCAACTTATTTTGTTCTTTTGGTCATTTCTTACATAATGACCTCTCATTGCTCTTATTTCTAGAAATGATCTAAGCATGGAGGTTTTACCTGTTCATGGAATCTAATTCATTCAAGTTACTTGAGCCAGATGTGGAGGACGGCAGTTGCCCTAGTAGTGATGAAGATAATCAAAAGCATCCGACTTCACAAAATGAGAGGGATTGGTGACCTTTCTCTGAAGTCTGTGCCTTGTTATTCTTGTCCACCTCTTGGTTCATAATCATATTTTTAAATCACATTCAAATCTATTTTTATTGTATTATACACATCACACACTTTGTGCCAATATTTTTACAACAAGGTATTGTAGTATGGCATTGTAGTATGTCAGGGACATCTTCCAGGTACACACATTCCTTTTCAGTGATAATATTGTAATTGAAACAACACACAAAAACCATAGTAGCTATCCTCATGATGGACAGGAGACACCTCTAAGGATATAGTTTAGTTGTCTAGCAGAAAGAGCAGGATGGCTACAGTGCTGGTCTCAGGGGTCAGTGTGCTCTCTCTATCCATCTCTCTCTGCACTGACCCTTGCATCAGGTATGGGAGCATCAAACAGAGTAGCCATGTTGCAAAATGCTTCCCTCCGTGTAGCCACCATGAAAAGTGAATGAGCAAGATTGAACATCCTGCCTAAATTACAGTATTTCACATCCTGTTCTTTTTTGAAAAGTAGTTTAAGATCACTAATTTAATTCATCCCTACTTCTTGAAGGAGAATGAGGTTTTTTTAATGAAATCCTTTTGGACTCGTGAGGTTGCATTAAACAATAGTTTAATATGCTTGTATCCCCGACTTCAAGGAGCAAAGTCTTCCATAAAAACAGAACCATTTGCTGTTGATTCTTCTTATCAAATTCCTGCAAGTATATTTGTGTGACAGAAGCAGTTTGTGAGGAAAATTAAAACCTTGGATTATTGATCAATGATAGAAATCATTTTATGTAGACCTTGCAACTAAGCACCAAAATAGTGGTTTCATAAACTTTCAGGAAGTTGTGCCAAACCCAGGAAAGGTGCAATATATAATTAAAGTTTTGATGTATTAATTAGACAATCCGAGAGCTCACTTGAAGATAAAAGGACACCAGATGTGTCAGGGAGAAAGAGTTGACGTGCTTTAGATAAAATTTAAAATCAAAAGCCTTCACATCGTCTTATGCTCTATTATAGCAGAATGATTGCTTAGTTCAAAGTCTTGCTGACAATTTAACACATTCAGTTTGATCATTTAGGCTTAGAATTTTTTTCTCTTTCATATTTGCCCTTCCCTTATCCCCAAATAATTTTTGAGATCATAGAAAGATATACACTATATCAAATATCAGACAGGATTCCCTATCGGGTTCCTGGCTTTGAGGGTCAAACCTCATTTATATTTAGCTCTCTTGTTTATGAGATAGAGAATGTTCTTTCAGTTTTATCATTGTCGTCCACTTAGGTCAAGCTTTTAACATGAGCAAAGGCAACTTATTAATATTTATAAGTTGTAAAATTTATTGACTTTTAAAAAATAAAATCTCAGTAAAATCTCACATGCCTAGAACTTGATATTTAGTGGTGACATTCTCTCTTCTTTGTATTTATTACAAGTATAGAAGTAGTTTTACTTCCTGCTGGGATGTATTGATGGAGAATAATGAAGTTAGCTGTCGTAGAGAGCAAGTGTGCAGAGCATACTCATCCTTGTCCGATAGGAGCCCTTTAAATAGAACACCACCTTCTCCTCCTCTTCCCTCCCATCTGTGGAAGCATGAGCGAAATGACAGCCATTGTCCCCTCTCAGCGCTGAGTCGATTCAGCCTCACCTTAAGATCTGGTGTGGGATCACGTGTTTAGATTTTTCCTCACTTCTCCATTTCACGTCTCCTCATCCCTAATTAACTTCATTAATAAGAAATCTCTTTTCTTCTCTTCTCAGCTCTTCCAGCTAAGCTTTGGGATATAATTATAAGACCTAAACCTTTGGGGGAAAGAACTTTGGGTTTTAAAGGGGGAAGTCATCAAACAAACATCTCAATGTCTTCATGCCTTTGTTTTGTCATTACTGTCATTGTTGTGTTCAGCATTGTGGGTTTGATTTTCCTTTTTTTTTTTATCCAGATCCCCCCACAACTATCCCTCCTCCCACAACAACCACCACCACCACCACCACCACCACCACCACCACCACCACCATCCTTACCATCATCACAGGTATGGTACCTTCATTACCATTGAAAATGTCCTGAATGTATATTGTCTTTCTGGTATGCATAAAAAGAAACCTAAAAGTTCCCTGTAAGTCCTTGGAATTTAACTGTTCCTTTATCTTGGAACTCCGGAAGACATTACATACATACTATATTCTTAAATTGAATCATAAGGGCCTTGGAAAACCTTTAACATCCAAGCATTTTATAGTAAATCAGATATTTTACAACTTATGCATAAGGGAATTCTTTTCTAAGCATCACTACTCAAAGCAAAACTCTAGGAAAATGGCAGCCCTGGCTTCTAAAGAACATGCTGATAGCTTCACTTAGCCATGATTGATGAAATGGTAAGTATTGTGGCTGTGGATTGTGTTCTTGTCTTAATTTCATCTTAATCCACACGAAGAAAATACACACACCTCACTCTAGCAGGCCTCTTTGGACCAAGCTACTAAATACTCAGTTACC